TCCCGGGTTTTTTATACGAATCTTCTTCCTCTTCTTGGCCGGTGCTTCCCTTCAAGGCCGGGGACCATTGGAAAGTGGGTCGATTTCGTGACTCGTCTCCATCACCAGGTGGCGCATTTTTGACGATTTGCGGCTTCTCGCAGGTGAATTGGAAACATCGGTGATTTTTGTAATTGGCTTGGCTCTCTGCGGCTCTGCGATGTTGGAAATCTGAAACATAGTCGTTTTTGTTTGTTTCCCTTGGATACTGCTTCATCTTGGTTCGAGGCGGCTGGATAGTAACCGGATTCGAAACCGTGTTGATTTTTCCTCTCTTCGCTCTGGCAGTGATACAGGCTTTGCGAATGGAAGCTTTGTGTAAATTATGGCTTACTACTTGGTTTTTGTTACTAGACATCGGACTTAGGACGTTGTCCGGGATTCTTGGATTCGGAATGGAAACTTGGGTGAAAATCTTACTTTCTCTCCTGACAGCGGCTTCGGCTTCAGGATTAGAAACATTAAGTAAGTTAATGCTTTGCCTTCGATTTCTTATGTTGGAAATCGGGCTTGGAGCTCTGTGCTGGATTTTGAGGTTTGGATTGGAAACATATGAAATATTTACTTTTTCCTCTGACAGCGACTTCGGGCTCGAGATTAGAAACTTTGTGGAATTTATCATTTATAGCTTCGATTGCTGCCTGGACATCTCGCGCTGGAGCGTCGTCCTGGGCGTTGGAACTTGGATTCGAAAGATAGTCGAAATCTGAAGTTCGCTCGCTCACCTTATACGACAACAAAAGAAATCTTCTCATCTTTCAAAAAGAAATCTATTTAGCTCAACATTTGTTGTCAAAATTGCTACATTGGGACCAAGAAGGCGGCATTTATGATTTCATAATTCGCCATTTGAGTGAATATGTGGTTTCAGAGTTTTGAAGAATTGAAAACATCAAAAAAGACAGTTTTCTCTGCCTGTATTGAAATATTTAAAATATGACTCTAACATGTTGGTATATCCACGCATTAGCCATTATCGCAAAAAACAAACCTGGTTGAGCTTCCGATGATTACTAGCGATAAGTACATGACATATCTTGAGTTTACATGACAAGAAAACGTAAACCTATGTTTATTGCTTCTAATGCTAGTTACTTGTAACATCCTAACAGTACTTAATATATTGCAAAAAGAAACTAAAAAAATATAATTCTTGGGGCCAAACAAAATGATCGAATTATTAACACAGAATCTTATAATACCCTAGCCAGGATACAACCAAAAAATACCTGGCCATGTCTAGGTCAAATCTTCGCCTATTGACAGGTATTCAAGCTTGACATTACTGGCTAAGGAAGCACCTTTACAACATGAGGAAGTGTGAAACACCTTTTTGTAGGGGTTGTGAATAGGAAGACGAGACAGTACTACATGTGTTATGCGAATGCACTGCCGTCTCGTCAACAAGAGAATCTATGTTGGAAGAACGTTGGCCTTCTGTGGCCTATATTAGAGAGATCCCCCTAAGCAGCGTCACCATCTTTTTCTCTGTAATAGGTTGGTTAACGGCTCAGCTGGCTGGATTGATGTCCTAATGGGAAGAAATATAAGGGGCAAAATGGGCTGTAGCTTTTTGAGCTACTCTCCCTAAAATTCCAGATTCTAAATTCCAGAACACTGAATAGAAAGCTACTACTTTAGAATAATATAAAGTCAATATATTTATATCTACCAAAATTTATCGTACGTACATACGAGAGTATGTCCTGTGTTAGCACGTAATGTGTATTTGCCTTAACTCAATCAGGCCTGTCTGCGTTTGCTTTTGCGAGTGATTTGTTGCGTCAGTGAAATTGTTGGTTGGATTTGGCGTAACCTTAATAGCATCACATAAAATAAGTATGTCAAATTTCGTTAATTTATAATAAAAAAAAAAAAAAATTTATACAGACTTAAAGATTCAAATTTATTATTTATGGCTTATTTTAAAAATGTAGGGGGCATTGGAAATACCTGAAAATGAAAAGTTAGGCAATTAGGTACGGTTGAATTGGTAAATAATGCCTACCGACAAAAATTTTAACAAACCGAGCAATACTTCTCCCAAGATTTTTGATGCACAAAATCCAGATCTGCCCTCAGAAATGCTCCATCGTATCAGGTTTTCGAGCTATTCTAACCTAAAATGCGAAAACACAATTTTTTTTCCTATATTTGAGGTTAGGTTACATCATGTAATCATTTTTCCCTCAAAACTCGTTGTGGCATCTCTTCCCCTTCAAAACCCATTTTCAGTAGCTCGAATACGTTTTTTCTTATCCCATAAATCTTCTGTTGAAACTGATTCGACGATATTCGAAAATTGTGTAGTATCAAGTGAAAACAAAAGATTAGAAGAATTATAAACCCCTAAATTCCAACTGGTTCTTCGGGTTTCCGTGGTCACTAGATTGTATAGAGTATATGTATATCTGGGAATTGAATTTGGAAGCGGAAAAATTGAAGACCGTAGATTTCATAACCCCATAGCCTTCGTAATCGAATTTGCAGCCTCAAAAAGCTCTACTGCAGCAGACTCTTGAATCCCATAGCCCTATAAAGTGAAATATCCGAATCCGCCAAACTAAACAATTCCAACAAATGATTTCTCACAATCAAAGAGGAAAAGAGATATTCGAACTATACGAAATTCATTTTGAAGGAGAGTAGTACATAACGAGAAAAATGGAGAAAAATTACCTCATAATATAACATAACCTCAAATATAGCGACAGAACGTGTTTTTCCTACATTTAGGTTAGGATATCTCTAAAACCTCATGTGATAGAGCAATTCGGAGGCCGGTTTCGGATGCAGTGCGTTGAAAACCTTCGAGAAAGTATAGTCTAGTTTTTGGTTTAGAAGATAATCCATATTTTGTCGACCTGGGTAATAGGGTATGCTTGTAAGTAAAATTTATTTATTTAAGTATTTAAAAAAATTTTTCAAAATGACATATATTTAGGGATTTAGGCTTTTACTAAAATATTCTTTATATCTTATTTTACGACAGTTTTAATAAATTTTTCTGCTTTTATTCGTAACGAGGGTGTATATTCATTTTAAATATACTTATGAATTCACTTGCATTTACGTCCATTTATCACCCGGATTAGGTATATAAACTTCTCACACTTTCTAAATTCGTAAGAAAATTATATAAATTTAACCTCATTACGTACTGAATATTATAAAAAATAAAAAAAAAGTATCGGATCTGGTATTCAGACCCATGTATTTCCATGTATTTTTTCCGCTGAATCCGAATCTACCTTCAGATTTGGCCCAACGGGTCTGAGTTTTCGGGAAAATTCAAAAAACAGGTCAGATCCGATACTATTTTTTTGTGGTGCTGTGTAATTTTTAACATATCATATTTTGATAACATCCAGAAGTTACTAAAATAAAATCTTATAATCAACTACTAATTAATTACCAATGGTACTGATTTCCGTTACATCAAACAGCTGTAGATTAAAATGTAACGCAGGCTTTTAAGAGATTAATTTTTAAATGGATATTTGTACCGGTAGAACGAATTGCAACAATCCGCTTAATTAGGATAGAACAGAAAAATACCTCAAAAAGAACAACGAACAGGCAAATATAAGAGACAAGATCAATGGAAATATCAAGGAATAGCTACAGAGAAAATGGAGATTGAAACGGTTTATCGATCGTTTCTAACTGAAAAAGATTATCACCGCATAAAGAAATGTAGGAACCAAAATTGAAGAAGACAGGAGATTGCAGATCATTAACAAAAAGGATACAAAATATGTTTAGTTTATCTTGACAATAAGACAAATTTCCTTGATAAATTTTTTAATTTGTTAAAAATTGTTTCTAATTTTTAATTACATTTCCATTTCAATTTGAACCTACTTTATTTAGTACAACTTCTTTTATATGTTGTGAAAAAGGGAAGGTTCCTGATATTGACATTTTTAATAACGATGCATATATGAAAAAAATATTAAGCCACACACATGTATTAGGTGTGACAACTTGACAGCTGATGGTAATATATGGGTATTTTAATAATATTAGATTTGTTCAGTAACCAACCAAACATCGTTATTATAAACGTAGGATGTCAGTTATCCTTAAATATTTTTCATGTCGCTAGCTTTATAAGTAAATATAATAAAAATGCGGAAATATGGGAAAATTGATATAATCATTTTGTATGAAATTGTTCACTTGCCTTGAACGAAACAAATAAAATGATTTTATCTTCTATCTATCATTAGTATTGAAATAGATGTGGAAATAGTATATCAACTTAAAGTTTGTTGCATTTTTATAAATGGTTTAGTTTTATAGCTCTGCCGAACTTATTCTATCTGTCAGTTTAAGACGAAACTCCTACGTTTTGAAAAAAAAATAGTGTTACTTGGTAAAGTTTGGTGTATGCAATTAGAGACATACTGTATACAAGGCAATTCACACCAGTTGTAAACAAATTTGCTTTGCATTTTTACCCATGTAAAATTAATGGATTAGAAATTACAGGGTTTTGAAGCTGTTGAATTGAAAAAGAAATAAAACTATTTTAGGCTAAGAAACGAACAAATATTGGTTGTTTATATTTTGGTCATGAAATGGCACCATTAAAGAATTTTTAATAAAACTTTATGATTACAGAGTTAATTTTAAATTATATTTTGATGACGTCATGAAGTATTTCTCTTCCAGGAACATTCCATTTTCCAAATTAAAAAAAAAACATATTTCCGATAAACTTTTATTTAAAAAATGTTCCTCTATTTTCATTAAAAAGTTATGATCAGAAGTAAAAACAATAATTCGAACGTCTACGCCACCTATTTTTATTGTAATTCTTGTTTTTCCAGTGAGGTTTATAAAGCAAAGTGATAGTATTTTTAATATTCTAACTTCTACTTATAACACCTTACGCATGTTTTTCGTTGAGCAACCCTACTACGCTCGAGTAATTATCTAAACCTTTCCTTCCGCAGGTATGTGGTGACGACGCTTTGCGAGTACTGCTACACTCCCGACTGGCTAGTGGTGATGCTCTTTTGGGTCGGCTACTTCAATTCCGCCCTAAATCCCCTAATTTACGCCTACTTCAACCGCGACTTTAGGGAAGCCTTCAAGGACACCCTGATATGCGCCCTGCCCTGCTGCTTCTCCTGCTGGAAGACGCCCGCCAGGTTCCTTTAGCCACGGGACCTGTCCCCTAGCTACAGGGACGAGAGGCTGTGATGTTGATCCATGAAAAATACTCGTTCCGCATTAGGCGAATTAGGATCTAGAGTTGTACAGTACTGTTATTGAATAGATAATAATGTCTTGATGATATAAGTACATATGTATATAGTTATATTAGCTAATCCTAAGCGAGGTACATTTTTGTTACTTATTTTTGCTGTCGAACTATTTTTGCTGTGTTATTATTGTCACTATGTTGCTACAATTTTGTTGCAATTAATTTAACTGTCAACAAAAGTGCTCCTTGTTGTCCAATTTTAAAGCATCTAAGGAAATTGCTAGGAAATATTATCACTGTTGTTAAATCATGATAGTTTAAAAACGAAAGACCCAGTCTTATTTCCGTAACCCTAATTTAGACTTTTTTTCATTTGGCAGCCACTGCACTCATAGAAAGTTAAGAAACGCTTTAATTTCTAAGTGTTATCAGCTTTTCAGCAATTTCAAAACGTCGAAAAAAATAATTTTCGAGTTTCATCTAAACATAAACCAATTTTCGTAATGTTTTAAGCATTGTGTTTCTCAGTATAGACCAATGTATATATACAATACTTTTAAACCAGTCTTACAAGCTAATTACTTTTAAAACAACAAAAACAACTATTCTATAAAAGAAAATTATTGCACATTCTTTCTATTACACAATTCTGTTGCAATTATTTGGGGCATTCCACGCCAAATCGACCACTTTTAACACTGACCCCTTTCGATTTGGCTGAAATGTTTTTATTGTTTTCTACCCCATTGAAAACCTGAGAATTTTTTCAAATTTTTTCACCCAACTCAAAAAAAGTTTTTTTTTAAATAACCATAACTTATTTAAAAATTGAGTTATTGGGACGTTTTTCTTTCAAAAATTTTATTTTTAAATGCACTTTTTGAAAAAAATAGATAAAAATTATCTGAATATATCTTCGCTGTTTTTTTTTCAATTTGCGAAAAAAAAACGAAAATTTCTCGATGATTACCATTTTTGAAAAAAAAAATTTCTTATAAAAAAACATATTTTTTTATAAATCCTCAAATTTTTTCAGTGGTGTTTTTTCGTTTTCAATTTTTTATTGATAGAAAAAATAAATTTAAATAAATTTCAAATTTATATCATTTTGAAAGTTTTTGAAAATATATACAGGGTGATTTAGAACTTATCCAAAAAAATTTGGATGTTCAGGGGACTCTTACAAATACGATTTTGTAAAGAAAAAAATCAAAAAGGGCAGTTCGAAAATAATTTAAAAATACACTTCTGCACGGCACTAGAAACTGGTCCACTGTAAAACCTGAAATGAATAAATAGAATTTTATAGCAGCAAATTCAACTGACTGCCGCTATTGTTATTATTAATTAATGAAATTAATTTGTGGTTTTATTTAATAAAATAATTTGACATACCTGATGTTACAACAACTGTTCAAAATTTTGTCCACCGACGTGTAAACACATTTGATCCTGTCTTACTAAGTTTCTACAAATTAACACACATGTTGTCCTGCTTCACCATAACACAAATGTTTCACCATAATACAAATGTTGTCTTGCTTCACCATGAATTAAAACGATATCCATCAATTCCGAGTTGCTATACACAAGCCATTTTTGACACTAACTGGGTACTACTAAAAAGCTATTGTAAACACTACCGCAACGACGACTGTATTGGGAGTCGCTGACGCCACGTGCTCTCACGCGTATTGCGAATGACGCTAAAGACTACAGTTGTCCAGCGATGTAGTGTTTGAAAATAGTCCAACTTCAATCATTTTTTTCTCGGACACTATAAGGATTTTACAAAATTTTTTTTTACGATATTGACTCCATTTCTCATGCCGCATCTATTCCCAAATTTTTTTGGATAAGTTGTGAATCATCCTGTACAGAATCACAAAATTGAAAAAAATTATTCAATGCAGCGATTGATGAGAATTTCAAAAAGTCAAAAGTGGATGGTTTCAAAATAATTTATTTGAGTTCAAATAAATGCATTGCATGTCTTTTTTTAAAGGCCACTGTTTGTCCAAAAATGGACCAAATATTTTTTTTTTATTTTCTGTTTCTGGATGTAGTATCGAAAAAAAATACAAAAAAATTATTCAAAACGATCTTCTATTTTTTCCTTAACTTTTAACAAAAAATCGAAATTTTTTCATGTTTACCACTTTCAATTATTTCTTTCATATATATATATATTTTTTCTATTTTGGGATTCTATATACATTTTCAAACATTTTCACAATGGTGTTATATGAAATAAGCTAAAATTGAAAAAAAAAATTTTTTTCAATAAAAAAAATAGAAAACGAAAAACACCACTGTAAAAATTTTTCTTTCAAAAATGGTTTTCAACAAGAAATTTTGTTTGTTTCGGAAATTGAAAAAAAAGCAGTGAAGGTAGGTTCAGATAATTTTGATCTATTTTTTTCCAAAAAGTATATTTAAAAACAAAAATTTAAAAAAAAACGTCCCGATAACTCAATTTTTGATAGTTATGGTTATTTAAAAAAAGCTATTTTTTCAAATTCATAACTTTTTTTGAGTTGATGAAAAAATTTGAAAAAATTCTCAGTGGTTTTCAATGGGGTAGAAAACAATAAAAAAGTTTCAGCCAAGTCGAAAGGGGTCAGGGTTAAAAGTGGTCGATTTGGCGTAGGATGTCCCACTTACAACTGACAAATAAAAGTGTTCTTGAAAATTATTGTGGCTGCCTCTTATGTAAAGTATTGGTAATGGATATGAATGAAAGTAAAACCTAAAATGTAAACGAAACGATTTGTTACCTGATGTATAATGCGACTCATAAAATGGAAATAAAGAAGCACTAAATATTTATCAATACACGATTATCTGACTTCATTGAAATTGTATCATAAGTACTATTGTTACAAATCCAGTTTTCCTTTTACAATTTATTCATGGATTAAATCACCAATTCATTCGTTAAAGATTTGATTTTTAGACCCATTTCTCATGAGCAGATATACAGGATGTTTATGGACCTTTATATATTTTTGTAACGAAAGATAAAACCTGAAAAACCTGTAAATTTCAACATTTTATCTTAGTAAAAGTTGCCTGGAAAAAATTTACGGAAAAAGTATTTCTTTTAAATATACACCATTATTCGAGTACCTGCCACTATTTAGTCCGGTAAGTGAAGCACCGTCTACTCGTTATAGCGATTATTTACCTAAAACCATTGAATAGTTAGATATTTTGTTTGTTTTTTTTTAATTGATAGCACATCTCGCATTGAAATTGGTTGCATTATTACTTCTAAAAATCTCTGTTATTAGACTAGAGTGAGAAAAATTGTAACGATCAAGAGTTAGTGTTACTCGTGAATTATGTTCTATTAGTAATATAATTATAGTAATCACGAATTGGTGCATATGTTATTGATACATGGGGAATGTAGACAAAACGTTGCGACTGCCAAACATATATATTCGTTCAAAGAGTATCTGCTGCAACCCAAGCTGGCAATATCGAATACTTGTTTTGATGTGTCATGTGAGAATACGACATGTCCTTCCCTTTCAACTTTAACAGTTCTCAATAAATATGTAAGCAAGTCAAGAATTACCTTAAATAAAAAACAGCCAATCCAAATAGTATTAAAATAACAAATACATATATTAAAATTATTGAACAATCAAAAGTTTAGCCGAACTTCATTGACGTACTTACGATGATGATGACTGAAAATGATTCCACGTTTGCCTAGGGTTTTGAACTGTATTAAATGTTTTATATTTTTTTCTATAACACATTGTATGTGCTGTATTGTCGTAAAGTAGGAGACAAGGAACAATGTTAAAAATAGTAATCCAATTGTTTTCAACTGTTCTGTGCATTTATAATTCGCAATAACTTTGTGGCTTTCCTAAAAACGCACATTTTTGAACCTCAAAACCAGTCATTTTATGAACATTTGACAGGAATACTTTTTTTACAATAGAAATTGATTGGAAATTCAAAAAATGCCTTCAAATGAAAGAAACAGTGGCAAATCTTTGTCTCAAAAATAGTTACCCCAACCTTGTAATAACTACACCACTGGAATATATTTTATAATCATATGTTCTTAGAAAAATTAATAGTCCACATTAAAAACTATCAGACTTCATTTTTTGTTAAAGATCTGGGAATTTAAATTATTGAAAAACGATATACAGGGTGTGCTATTTAACACTCCCGCTGCCAATATCTCCGAAATGAAGAAATTTATTTTAATTTCGGAAATTGGGGTTGTTAGATCCCTCGAATAGCTTCAAATTATAGTTAGAATTGTTAGTTAAAATCTTTTTGTATAGATGACGTGGCGCTACTAACAAATTTTTTGTTCCCTGGAACATGGAAATATAGTCCATCTGAAATATCGTTAAATTTTAAGTAGTTTTTATAATATAAAGTTTTTCCCTATATTTACTTATTTTCGAGATATGTCTTCTTAAAAATGCAATGTATGATATAACAGGAAAATCTATTATTTTATTTAAATCACACCGAGACAAAATATTCTTCTAAAATATTGTTATAATGGCTTTATTCATATCACATACTAACTAATAAACAATAAATTATAAAAAAAAAACGAAAAAAAAAAAATTGTACAATGGTAAATCTTATAAGGGGCAGAGACGAACCATATTTTATCAAATGTTATTTAAAAAAGCAGTCATAGGTGGCTCATGTCATTTGTTTAAAATAAAACAATGACAGATGACATATTAGTTTTCCAATAATTACAGTCTCATCAGTTTGCGTCCTTCAATTTAACTATACTAGTTATACGATTTAACATTGTACATTTTTTTTCTGTAGTTAACCATTTGTTTTTTTATAAGTTATTATTTGTTAGTTAGTACGTGGTGTGAATAAAGTAATTATAACAACATTTTAGAAGAATATTTTGTCGGTGTGATTTAGATAAAATAATAGATTTTCCTGTTAT